CATGAACTGATTTGCCTCTCAACTAGGGGAGGGCATTAGTATGCCTCATCTTCCATGGACTTTGGATCAGTCTGCCCTTCCTTATCATTTGGCAGGATTTCCCTATCTCGACCAAAAGTTGTTGGGGTCAGCTCTACCTGTTTGGGGGCAAACCCAGATTACCCTGTCCAACTTACCCAAGCCCAATTTTCTCACCTTTGTCTCACCCTCATGACCCTGTTAAGGTATCTTTCCTCCCTTTACATTCTGTCAGAGGCTCTTCACAGGAACCCTGAGGGATTTTCTGCTGAAATCCTCTCTATCCTTACTTCTTCATTGGTTCGTCTGTCGCATTTGGCTCTCATGCTTCAAATGTGGTTTGTTTGTTATTAGGACCTGTTGGGTCATGACGCAGTTTTGGCATGGACCCATCTCCAAGCTCCTTATCTGAAGGACCTCTGCATGGCACCGATTTTGGTCCATCAGCATTCTACCCTTACTAACTTGGTAACTCGTTTGTCGCAGTCGGGGCTGAGCATGGTACTGGTTCCTGACCCCCGACCTTCCCCTTCCCAACGTCTTCCTGTACCACCCTTCCATGGTGCCACGGTTCGACAATGCACAATCTGCCAACAGCAGTACTGATGACTACATGGTTGGATTCAGCCCAGTGGGAGCTTTTCTCTTGAATTTCTTTCATTGGTGGAGACCTTTTCTCACCAATATCTGGGTTCACAGAGTGCTCTCAGAGGGATACACTTTCCCCTTTCTCTCCCCTCTGTCCTCCGTCTTCACTTTTGACTTTTGTCAGGTCCTTGGCGAGTAGTTCCAGTTTTCTCAAAGAGTAGCTTCACATTTAGCTCGTTCCTTTCGCCCTTCTCATTGGCCATTTATCAATGCAAGTGGAGCATTTATCACTCCTGGTCATTGACTTGGGGTTTGGGGAATCTCACCCAATTTTTGTCTGTTTCGAGTTGTCGATCTTCCTCTCTCGACATGACTTCTGTGTTGTGGGTCACAGAAGGTCTACGTGGCCGTTTTACACTTCTGTCCTGCATTTTCCTTTGTTGGGTGATGAGGCTGTTACTTACCTGGGGTCGTTTTGGGCTGGTTTCACAGACACAGGGGTTGAATGCATGTGATGGACTACCCTCGAATTCTGGATGACACATTCCCGGATCCCTGGCATTAGACTACCCTGTGAGATCCTGGAGTCAAATGTTAGGTTCTGTCTTGACTCTGGGACTTGAAGTGAAGATGGTGTGATCCTCATCCTACCCTCATGAGGATGTCAGTACCAAGCGAGTGAGGTTTTGGATGTAGTTGACTTACCGAGTATGGTCCATTGTGCCCTATCCACTCTACACCATGATAGAAGTGCTCTCCTATTGGTGCTGCTTTTCATGAGAGACATGTTGGAACCTTGGCTAATGAATGATTGTGGCATGCATTTCAAAAAAAGTCTACATACAAAGGGCAGCACAAAATGAGAAAAGCTAATCTTATGAGAAGAAAGAAGTACCTACCTGAAATACATTTTCATTTAGGAAAATTATAACTTTCATAACTTTGGCATAGGTCACAAACTAAAAATGTATTTCTTCAGTATTCTGTTGGAATTACATTATTCTAACATGCCAGATTTAGTTCTGAAGCAATTCTACCAAAGTAAATAGTTGTATATATATGACTATAAAGTCTTAAAAAGGCATTTATATACCTAAAAAGAAACACCATATGTTTTGAAAATGTTATTCAAGCTGCTTTATTTTTCATAATTACTTTTTTTTTATAAATCTGATATATAATTCTTGAACTTAGGAATATTACTCTCCTTGCAGATATTTTATACTAAATTTTATTATATTATAAGCTAGCTTATTTCAGGAAATACGAATTCAAGAAAAAATTAACCATCTATAGTGTAAAATGCATATAAAGCTACTACTACTGTATTTAAGATGACTTGTAACAATTTTAATAAAAAGTTAACAAGCTTATTTTTTGTACAGTCTGACACCTAGTAACAGTTATTGGTGAAAAAAAAAATTCCTTTTTAAGGAAAACTATGTTGAAACATTTTCTAAAATACCAAAAAATATTTTTTTATCTCCTTGAAAGTCAACTTGATGGACCCAAAAATTATATTATAAAGAATTGGAATATATTTTTTATAATATATATATATTGAATTTTTAATCCTCTTTTCATGTATTATCCTTTTTCCTGTGATTGTTTGATACATTATGCATAAATTCTTAGTGTCAGATAACTTATTGATGAAGGAATCGTCAATAAATTACTTAAATTTGCAGATGATATTAAGGTCTTGGGTGTTGCTAGCTGTGAAGGGGATGCTGCTGATTTACAAAAGGATTTAGATCATATAGTGAGTTGGGCAAATAAATGGCAGATGGGTTTTAATTATAATAAATACATGCTAATGCATGAGGGTTATCATAATTTGAATTATAAGTATAATTTGGATGGGAATAACCTTAAAAGGGTCACGAAGAAAAGGAATCTTGGCGTAATAGTCGATCAGTCTCTAAAGCCTTCCAAGTAGTGTG